CCAAAGACGTTCCCACAAGACAGAAAGTTACAAACTTAATGCTAATCTTTGAAATGTTATTAGTAGGTATGGGATAGAGGCTAGGTCGCGTTGTGGTGGTGGTTGAATCGTCATGGCACACTTCTGCATCACACCTAATGGAACAAGTTCCTTTGCATGTTTGCGTGCACTCCTTCACACTTGACGAACACATCATATTACAGCGGCTATCGCCGCAGTGCTGTGTACAGACCTGTGCATCGCAGTTCATTGAGATCACAGCAGACCCAAGCCCATCTTCAGACTGTGCACATTCTCGCACACTCGATGAGCAATTCATGTCGCACGTGCTATGAAAGCAACTTTGTACACACTTATCTCCATGGCATTCCATATTAGCGATGGAAAAAAGATCTGTTTTCTGTATACAGTTCTTCACTCCAGCTAAACACTTCAAGTGAAACTTGCTATTTAGCCCTCTTTGCTCGCATGTGTCAACTGAAGACGAGCATGTCATTTCACTTAAGAAATTTTTCTTACAACTTTTACATTCTTGATTGCACGATCTCGCAGCACAGTGCATGTCTTGGCCAGTCTTTGGTATAATTGCTACTTGATTGCAGTTGGAGACGTCTTCCTTGCAGACCATCCTCCCGCAATCAGCAACAAAGCATTGCTGGGTACAGTCGTTGGATGTGCAGGTCGATGAATTGCAATTGATATTGTTGCAAGTTTGGTGGCAATACTGCGATGCTTGGCACTCCAATGTGTCACACAGGTACCCTTCTGTGAGATTAGCTGACGGAACACAGTCTTGACTGCAAGAAAACTGAGGCGATGTCCTTCCACATGACAGTGAACAAGGAGGCTGAAGGCAAGACGTGAGATTCTGTGTACATTGATCATTGATTAGAGAAGCGCAGGCTGTAACGACTGTCACGTTAGTGGCGGAGACTACAGCAGCGATCGATGTCACGCAAATGACCATCAATAGAAATAACGCCATCCTTAAACAAATAACCATATGTGACGAGGTGTCTACCTCTTATAACCGTCCCTGGCCAACTCAATGTACGTATTGATACACCACATGATATTGCACTCATCACCAGCAGCTATATTCACTATGCAAGAAAAACGTTTCAACAAAATAACTGTGAAAAATGGTAAATTAGACAATACAACTACTGCGAAAGAGCGTTTCTCTAGAGTGACTATAAAATGTTTAAGCAAGCAACCGGAACGATGATCCTGCTGGTATACGTTGGATCAATAGTGATCTAATCGGCTTTACATATAAAATGAAGAATACAAAAGCAAAAACCGACACAACGTAGGTACAATGGAAAATTTTCCATTGTACCTGAAGAAGGCTGGTTTGGCCAGCCGAAATATAGTACACCTTCAAAAAATCATCCTACGTTGTGTCGGTTTTTGCTTTTGTATTCTTCATTTCTCTAGAGGCCTCTAAAGTCTGACTGAGTATACTAACGTGGGGGAGGGGGAGGGGGGTATTGAGCCCCTAGCTGTATTCAAGTGTTCTGCAACGAGTGGAAACCATTCCCACGAGGGCTATATTCCGGCTATGTTCTAAGTAACTGAAACGGGGGAGGCGAACAAAAACCCCTCCGTCCAGTGCTCATCACGGCTAGCCAAAACCATTTCTTTCGAGGATAGGAAAGATCGAGTAAATTAGATGTATTTAGAAAAAAAAAAGTGTCATTGATGGATTGAAAAAATTTTTTTTTTTCCTTTATCAAGCGGGTTTTATTGAAAAAATTCGGCATTATATTAATTAAAAAATATGTGATTAATTTTGACACTGTTGAAGGAGTACATCAAAGCGCTGGGGTGTACATATACGTCAGTAAACATTTGCTTTAGTGTCACGTATAATCAAAACATGTCAACATGCAACAAAAGAGAACCACTGCATTGCTTCTAACTTTGATAATAATTTAAATATTCAATCTTGGCACTAAATACATTAAATTCTTTCAGTCTTCACTATAAAATAATTTTATTCCTCACTTCTTGCATTTCAATTGCATCTTTCGATTTTTCTGGTGATTTCTCATCCGTGACGCTTTTGAGAACAAACTGCAGTGTCAAACTATTTTGACAGGAAAACGAGCTTCGGAAACGAACTGAGGCCAACGAGCAAGGTAATATAGGTGAACCAATTGCATTTTCTCGATCACGTGAGTTTAGCCAAGCCGTCTTATGTTTTAATCGTACGTAGGTTTTATAGTCACGGATATTGTCAATTGCGTTCAGTAGCGGGAGTTTACGATCACCTTCGGAGAAGCTATTCCCTTTCAAGATCGTAGTCAGAGAAGTTGTCTTCCACCGATATCTGCTACCGGTAGGACCGTTAGCTCGTAATGTGAGCTAATGTGATCTGCGAAATATCGAATATGATAATTCTTACCGTATCAAAACTGCGTTCCTGCTATATTTTTTGTTGCCATTACATCGCGGACCTTTTGGCCTCAAGTAATCATCAGGTTGCATATGTTAATTAAGTGATCGGCCTGCTATAATTGTATGCAAAGCACGTAAATTATGAACGGGATATTGGGCACGTTGATATAAACTTTCCCATTTCCACTCAAGCCTCGTTATCCTTGTTTTAAAGCCTTGTTTACACTTCATAAAAATCCGCGATTGCCTTAATTTTGACATTGTCAACCAAATTGAGCCAAGTGGCTAATATTTCGATAATTGCAAAGCTACAATGGCCCTCGGAGACACCTAACGTTTCTCCCTCCCCACCCCCCGGTGCATTGCGCTGAACATTGTTCGGAAAGAAGTAAGGTAAGGCTGGAGTTCGGAAAATTGAACAATGAGTTGTAAATGGAAGTGGACTTGTCATTGGGTATTAGGGCTTTTGTTATTTCTTGCACCAGTCTCAAAATACATGACGTCACGTCATGATCGACAGTAGATGAAGTACGCATTATAGGTCACAATAACTTTAAACAAGCAGTCCAAAAGGGGGTTCTGGGTCATAAACTGAGTGTCACTATAAGACTGTCGAATTTAATTGAGCAACACCCCACCCCCCTAAACTGGATTCTAGAAGCCCCGAGGGTCGCGTGAAAGAAGCGAAGGAATTTCGGACAAATGGCTGCCGCACAATCGTACCCCTCATGTATTCCGATAAACATAAATGATCTCCTCGCTCTTCAGGGAGTTGAGTCACAACGAGTAGAGTTCAAAAAAGCGTGGCACAACAATCCACGAATTAAAGGCGGTCCATACTGGCAAATTATCCACACCATTTCCGCCCTCGCTAACGACTATTACAATGTTAACGGCGGATACATCATCATCGGAGTAGAAGAAAAGGAAAACTGGGATTCACCAAATAACCGAGACGCTGTTCCATATGGTATTCAAGGGAACCTGGAAAATATACAGAAAGAGATAGCGGGGACCTGCCGCGGTAATATTAAGCCACCGCATGTTCCCAGACTACAACCTGAAGTCGTCGACTCCGAGGAAGGGAGAAAGGAAGTTCTCGTGATCTGGGTCAAGCCCTCAGAAGCCAGACCGCATATGTGCAGAGAAAGCGACAAAGGAGAAATGAAATATTACATTAGACAGGCCGCAGAAACCAAGGTAGCTCAAGACCAGGAAATAAAGCGACTGTGTCAAGAGAATAGTACTCCATTTGATGACAGAACGGCGAGTGACAGCGGTAAGAAAACTTATAGCAATGAAATTACATTAGCAGTAGGATTTCGAATTGTAAATGCGAGGCTGTGAGATTAGCTGGGAGACCTAAGTGTTGAAATTGAATTTACTAACATATGTATAAATTATTTTACTGGTCTTGAAAAGTGTGAGATAACTCGTCGAAAACTTCGGCGGAGCTTGACTGCGCGGTTGATCGATTCAACTGAGTAGTTGAGCTCGGAAAATATGTCCGTGGATAAATTATTTCAGAACTTCCTCTAAGTCTGATTTACCTATTTTCAGTTATCTTGAATTTTGGGGTTTGACATTAAGTTTAATTAACTTATCACCCTTGAGATTAGATGGCAGTATATGAATAGCTCAGTTGAAAACACATGTAAAATACCGAATGGAGTACCATACCGAGAAGAATACGACGCATAAATTATGTTATTATAAAATATTCTATTTTATCATTATACATGAAATTAGTTTTACAAATATTAATTTTATTGTAGTATTTTAAGTTTTAAAAGCGCTGCTGATCAGTAAATGTAAAAAGCGCTCTAGAAGTTATTATATTATTATTATTATTATTATTATCATTATTATTATTATTGTTATTATGCAAGAGCACGTGGCGTACACAATTAATGCATACTCTTTTCGGCACGGTGCTGTGCTCGCCATTTTACAATGGTGTGAAATGCAAATTATAATACCAAGTTTAGCTATAAAGTATTATA